ACCGAGGTTCGCATGCGTGACCTCGACGACACCTTAGAAGTCGAGGAGGTGAGGGGGTGGGTGGCAGAGTCCGTGCATTGTGGCGTCTCCGACATACAGTGCGGAGCGCTGCAACCGGCCGCCGGAGGCAAGCACGGCCTCTGGCTGCGCCTGCCCCTCACCGCGGCGAAAGAGCTGTAGCGGGATTCTGTAACTCTTTAACGACAAATATCGCTATCGTTAACTATCGATTTCGATGATTATCGCAAAAAGTTATTCTGTAACTAGCAGTTATCGACAATTTTTGATAAGTTGAATCGATAAATCCCGAAAAATATCGTAACCGTATCGGTACGGTTGCGATCGATGCCGGAGGTCTCGCTAAGGTGTTAACGATAATCGGTATAAGTTAGTGGTACGTTGGTGTATAGAATGTATGCATGTGTGTGTAGTATGTGTTGCCCTTCCTTCTTGTCCGCTAGTTCGACGTGACCGTGTCGACTCAGAGTTAGAGTCGGGTGCCAAGAATAAGACGAAGAAGAAGATTGAAAGTAGGTATAAGTATTTCTGTTCCTTGAATCTTTTATAACTTTTGTCTTTAAGATTGCATTGAACTGTTGCAATACTATGTAAGTGAGGTTAATATAACAATGCTGTTTAAACTTGGAAAAAGCTTGTTTCAGTCTATAGTTGTAAATGTTTACAGTATTTTACATTTTTGTTCAATAATAAATATTTAAGTGATACATGCAAGTCGGTTATGTATTTCTAAATAAATAAATGTAATAGAAAAATTAACTTTAACTTTATTTGAGTAATGTAAAATATAAGCTTGTATGGCAATTAATTTAAACTGTGTTTTAGATTCTCTGATAAAATTTCTTAACTTTTCATCTTAGGATGGCTCTCAATTACATCGCTTTAGATCAAATGATGATGGAAAATCATGTTCAACTTCTTGAACGAAGGGCACAACGACAATTATTGCGAACAACGGAAGATCCGTTTGAGTTGACAAACGAAGAATTTAGGCAGCTGTACCGCTTGACACCAGATTTATTTTTCAATCTCATCGATGCACTAGAACCTCGATTGCAGCGAACAAGAATTACTGGACTGTCTCCAGAGAAACAAGTAATACAAATTGTAACA